CAAAATCCAGGTACTTGTGCTGAACATCTCTAATTAGCCCAAACTTGTTTTTATTTGGTGCAGGACATCACTCATAGAACTCCTTCTGCATTTTATTTTAAAGTCTGTTTGTGTATAATGTCACTTTCCCCCCATTGTTTCCTGTCACGTTGTAATCAGACAATGAGTTAGGAGGACGGTGAAAAGGTTTAGAAGGAAAAAGTGGAACAGATGAAGGAGGCTGGCAGCAGAGAAAGTCTTTGTCTGGGTGACAGAAGTGGGTTTAAGCAGAAGAGGGCAAGTTGTCGTTTGTTTTGCAGAGATGTAGCACAGAGAAGCAGCAGGTATAAATGGAGAACCAGTGTTTTATCCTCCAGAGGATGATGGAGAACCGGGATCAGGCGAGTTCATGGCAGGTGAATGCATGTGAGAAACCAGCCAATCAGAGGAAGTCACAGAGAAACACAAAGCAGCTGCCGTGACGCTTTCCACTTACAGACTTTATGTGTCTCTGGACTCATGAATCTTTGAAAACATGTTGGATTTAGTGCAAAACTTAAGTAGCCTGAGAGTTAAACACACGCAAAAATCTACACAGGAGACGAAACCATCAGCTCAACGTCCTTTTATCAGTGACGTGTGTTTGATTATATCACCTGAGCTGGTTCGAAGTCGACCTGGACTGAATAAACACCTGCACAGAAGAATCTGGTTCCAAGAAGCCTCAGCGGCTCTTCTATCAGCAGCTGAAGCAAGTTGGTGAATGTGGGAAACGTGATAACCTCATAATAGCATCTTAGCATTTAGCTCAAGGCGTCTTCATACCCAAACACATCCCGGAGCCGCCGCCGGCGAAGCTGAAGGCTCTCAGTGCGGTTATTAATTCATCTAATGCAAAAAAGTAGCTTCTGCTGCTGGTCCTGCTGCAAATACCTCTGATGAACTCCAACATCTTCTGGAAGCAAAAAGCTGCTGATTCGAGCGATCGCCTCACTCCTGTTTCAGCCTCTTTCGGTTGGTTAAAAACATGAGGGAGCGAAATCTGTACCGAAGTAAAGAATAAAAAAAGTACTATAAATAGAACACATAGTGGCTTCTGAATGTTTTAGCAGAAATTTTAGGCTTTTACTGATCAGTTTAAGGCGCTTTGTGTCCATTCTGCAGATAATTTGACCAAATATTAGCATTTGTGTGTTTTTGACCCAACAGATTTAGTCATATTTCCAGAAGACCTTTAATAAATCAATGAAAGAACCAACATGCGTGGTT